GGGGGGGGGGGGGAGACACACTTCTGTGTCCAAATAAAGGGCACCCAGATCACAACTTTTGGTGACACCCCACCTGATTCTTGTCTAGTTCTGTGACAATATTTGTGTGTTTCTGGTTCTCTCAGAAGACACCATTCGTAGAAGGGCACTAGCAGAGTTTCCTGCAGTTTCCTAGAAACTTTGTTTTATTTTTATTTTCCTCCAAAGCAGCCAGGAAAGATGTCAGTGAGGGATTTTAAAAGCATCAGGGTTGCAGTCTGATTCCTTCTTAAAAGGGCAAGGCAGAAAGCCTGCTCTTCTACTTTTTCTGTCCTTTCTCACTCTTCTCACCATTCATGTTCCTTGGATCTGAAATCAGGAGTGATGCAATCATAAAACTTTGTTGAGTAAATCCCTGATGTTGCAACAGGAAAGGCAAGAATGGTTCTTTTCTAAGATATGTATGTATTCCATCTTTCTTAGTTCTTTCTCTTTCACCACTGCTGCTCATGATGTACGAATCTTCGCTTTAACATATAAGTTCAGTGAAAGTGTCACACTCCACCTTGTAAATGCCTCTAGTCTCTTTGATCTACCCCAGAATTGCACTAGAAACACCCAACTATGTCTAATTTGGTTTATATTTGCACATTAGTTTGAAGACAATGCACATTCTTACTTTGGGTGCAAAGCTGCCTACTTGAGATTAGTGAAGGCAAAACCAAAATGTGACTTGTAAATGTAGTAGTAATTGTGTAATAATCATGGGAATATTAATGACTCACAGGTTGATACATGAAGAATTGAGGACATTTTTCTGCTGCCCTTCCCATTTAGGTGGATATGATAACAAAGTGAACCTTCACCTTCATCAACTCACAATTTGGGGGAGGGGGGACTTACAGATTTAGGGTTTCCCTCTGGCATCTCTTCTTCTAGTGGCTCAAGCTTTAGATCCTTGTCAACAAGATGAGGCACAAATACAAACAAAACCACAAAAGATTAACTCTCGGTGCTGCAAGTACTATACTTTGGTTTTTCAAAAGAAGGAAAGAAAGCAAATGTTGAAGTTTGTATGGAATGTGAAGACACAAGAAAACTCTATATTCTGAAAGAGAAATTTGGGGACAATATTACCATGTTTCCCCAAAAATAAGACAAGGTCTTATATTAATTTTTGCTCCAAAAAATTCATTAGGGCTTATTTTCAAGGGACGTTTTATTTTTTTCATGTAAATTTATTCAAATACTGTCATGTCATCTTCTGGTTGCTGCACAATGGTGGAGGGTGAGGTTTCACTTAACTGGCTTATTTTGGGGGCAGGGCATATATTATAAGCATCCTGAAAAATCATACTAGGGCTTATATTCAAGTTAGGTCTTATTTGGGGGGAAAACAGGATATTTCCTAATCTAGTACCTGTAGCTGATTTTCCAATAGAATTGTTTCTGTGTACTGAATATCAGGGACAATTACTATTTTAGCCATGAAGAAAGTATGTCCTAAATGTACATCAGATAGCTAATTCTGATTCTTCTGAAGTATTTTAGAGAAGAAGGCAATACATAAATGTTTGTATTCTTCCAATGCATTTTGCAGAACATAATGTGTGATCACATATTCATAAAATGATTGTATTTTCATTAAAGACCACATTAATACAAATAGTTATAGTCGTGCATATCTGTTTTGGGACTATAGCCATAGATATGGTTTAGAAATTTTTCCAGTTTTTCTTCAACATGGTTCCAAATTTCGAAGGTGTCATCCACATGTCAGACCCAGATTGCAATTTGGAATCACAGTGAAGAAAAACTGGAAGAATTTCTAAACCATCTCAGTAGCATCCACCAAATATACAATTCACCATGGAAAAAGAAATAGAAGACCAACTCCCGTTCTTAGATATCATGGTCATACGCAAACCTGACCTCCTATTGGGACTCATAGTCTACAGAAAACCCACCCACATAGACTGGTACCTACACAAAATCTGCAACCACCACCCATGACAAAAAAGGCATAATCAAAACACTGGTAGACCGTGCATATCGGAACTGTGAAGCTCAATTTCTCAGCACCAAACGCAACCATTTGAGTTGGGCCTACAGGCAAATGGTTATTCCAAGAATGAAATCAAAAGAGCCATCAAACCGATAAAATAACACCAAACTGAAGTTGAAAAACAGCCACCCACAAATAAAGTATTTCTGCCATACATCAAAGGGTCAAGTATACATTATAGATAACCCATCCTAGATGAGGAATTGTGTTGATTGTATTGATTTGTTAAGTACTGATTGTGCTTGATACAACAGGCACTTTTCTCACCTGTAATTTGCAAATCAGTTTCTTTTGTTTTGTGCTTGGACTTCAACCCATAAGCACATTCTCCAAAATATTGCCTTAACTGCCTCTTTCTGGGACATAAACATGATTTCAGCTCTAATGGGAGAGTCACCTGTGATATATAGTTTGGCCCTTCAGAGACAGGCACCGGGTTCTGCTCATTTAGTAGATGTTCCATGTGCTCTACAACTATCCTGTCTGAGCAGGGAATGTGATGCAAAAAAGCACATCAATCTTTTGGGTGCAAAGGAGGGTCTATCAAGCACACCTTCTGTTCCAGTCTGTCAATAAGCTTCTCAAGTCTGTTTATTTGGTTCATCCATAAGTTGTCCTCTTCTAGCCAGCCTTTGGAAGAAATAAATAAGATATTTAAGCCATTTTTGGAAACCAAGACTTCATTGTTTTGTCTGTTCATGTTAATATGCATGCTTGTGTCTATGGAAGAATATTAGATGGCTTTTAGTATTTGATCATGCTTCTTTGATAATTATTAAGGTATAACATTTTGCAGGCATAAATATTTGGTACAATGAGACTGTTCTTTCCAGAGGCAAAACATTGCTGATGGAGTGATGGGAGCTAGTTTCATTTCTTAAAAGCACACAAAACAATTTATTCGTGAAGGCTTTCATGGCCGGGATCTAATGGTAGTTGTGGGTTTTTCGGGCGCTTTGGCCATGTTCTGAAGGTTGTTCTTCCTAACGTTTCGCCAGTCTCTGTGGCCGG